AAACACATTAGGACAACATGTTGACTAATTAAAGACGTTATGACAACATGTTGACTAATGAAACACATTAGGTCAGCATGTTGACTAATTAAACACATTAGGTCAGCGTGTTGACTAATTAAACACATTAGGTCAGCATGTTGACTAATTAAACACATTATGACAACATGTTGATTAATGAACTTAAGGTCATATATTGAGTACGTTCAAAACATAAAATATTGTCATGAATTTAGGTAGTGTTTGATCGTTTAGTCTAAAATCATGCATCTAAAACCATCGGAAATATTATTTGCGAGAATCATAGGTCCTTTTATTTCTACAGCGCGAAATTTGAATTCAAAATTTTATTTTCTCGATTTCAACGAAAATCAAGAATGTTTTCTCCCGCGAAAATAAACGGCTATACGGCAGTATTAAGAAAAAATCTTAATGTAAACTGATAATAGTTCGCAAAACATATCATACTGTTATTTCAAACTGTTGCAAATCGCCGAATGTATAAGCGTCTCCCCGCACACTTTCTGATGAATTATTCATATGGAGCAAACTTAGCATCAATGTCTGTTAAGCTACGGAGTAAAGGGAAAGATATTTGATTGTCAATATATCCCTTTTTAATGCTCCTGTTGACTTGAATATGGTTTCATAACCGTGTGACCATCTGTTCCTCAATTTGCATGAGAGCTAATTGTTTTAACAATATTGACATACGCTGTTATTGTCATCTGTGTAGCTTGGAAACAGATTCTGTTTGGAAATATATCGCGGTTTTACAGAAGAGTTCGGTGAAATTAACCACATTTTTATATCAAAATAAATATTTTATAACCTACATGTTCGATTTTGTGATTGGTTCAATACTTGTGCTAGATGAAGTGTCATTGCTACAAAACGACGTCTGCTTCAATGTAGTAGCGCTTAAACCGATTAAGTTGGGATTTTCATGTCAACCATGAGTGTTCAGTTTTATTAAAAGGCCTGAGTTTATCCCACTTAGTATGTCTTTTGATTAAATCAAGCAATTTTAAACCCAAATATCACAACCAGCTTTTGTTACCCGGTAAATGATTTTTCAATATTTACCAGTGAAAATACCAAAAAATCTGGCTTTATCATTTTTTGAAATGTTGTCCTCATATATTTTTGTTTGTTTTTTCACAAAGCCAGAAAAAGACAATTTTAATTAATTACAATATCTCAGTAAATATAAGAGTGTTGACCAAACAAAAGTAAGTCCTACATAATATTAAATTTTCAGCTGATTTTATTAGGAAACCTATTTACAAAACAATTTACCAGAAATGTAGATCGACATCAGCCATCTTTCATGATTAGCGATGACGTAACAGACTGAAAAGTAATATTCGTGTGTGTTCGCATGTGGCTGTCGCCAGCAGACAGTCGCGAAGCTTCCATTACACGAATAGAAGTGCATGGAATTGCATGTATCAATAGAGAAACAAGCGAACATCTATTGTTGTCTCTTTGCCATTGGTATTTGATTACTTTTTTACAGAGCCATTGCGCCGGATCTGTGGAAACAAGGTTTGTAGAAATCGCTCATAAAAGAATTTTGATGGAACTTTCAAAGATTAATGCTTTTAAGCACACGATGATTTTTCAAATGATATAAAAGACTTGTTATCAGTAGGCTTGTCAGTAAATGTATTTGATTTTTTAAAATAGTTATCGAAAATACTTCAAATTCAATTAATCCGTGACACTGTCATTTTTTAAAATATCGTTTCGTTTCAACGTTAAACTTTGAAGGTTTTCTTTATTACTAAATGTATAGGTAAAAATTCCATAGCTTCAAATGTAGCTTACTAATGATCTGCCAGCGTGTATTTATGATGATACATAGCCCCGCAGCTCACTCATTCTTATCACGATTGAAGTTTACTAGTACCCTAGTTTTCTCGATTCTCTCAGTTGGGTGATAGTAATAGCTCGGGAGCTTATTGATTCTCATTCAGGTGAATATGTTTATTACCAAACTAGTTGTTTACCTCGCGTCCTACGAATATAATACTTTCAAAATTTTGTTGCAGAATAAGAAAGTATAGTTTATAGAAAAGTAAGTATCTAAAAAGGTGCATGGAATTCAATTTTATGTTTTTATTGATAAAATCTTCGGTGTTGACCTTGGAAATATCAGAATTCACATTTCGCATAAGAAAAGACACTATACTTTTCCAGAAATTTGTTTTTGAACAGAAATATTTCAAGATCGATTTCCATAATGATTTTTTTAACATATTCTTCATTTTGCAATTGTTGCAGTTCAAAATCAGAATATTGAGCTTCTACGATTACGTAATGGATATGTTGGAAAGAGTATAATTATGGAAATCCTTTGTATAATTATACAAATATTTGTAACAATAGAATATAAAATCGTCAGCGGATAAATGAAACAACCTTGCCGTCATGAATTTACTAATATATTGTGACTATTATGTTTACAGTTTATGTCATAGGAAGCCTATGTAAGGTACTTCTGTGATATCGTGCTATATCTAGTAACATTTTATCTGATCCAGCAAAAGATAAATCAACTGTGTTTATGAATGATATTATGATAATTAATACAAAAGTTTAATCCAGTTACAGCTTAAGATCAGGTTTTAATGAGCATGCATCATTATCAACACGCTGTTGACATTTTCAAACTTAAATGAAAGAAACGATGTCGCAAGGAATTGTTATCTATGGTTTTACATACACACAAGTTAAATAAAAAGACACTTAATGTCAGGCACCTGTCTTCACATTACTGAGCCTGTTCATCACAGTGGGTTAATTTAATTAGAATAAATATGAATAGATTAGATTGGAACAAAAGGCGCTTTTTCTGTCAGACAATACGATGCAGTTTGATCAAAATTTGTATACGTAAACTTTGCACCATCAATTTGTTTGTTTCGTACTTCGTTTCCGTATTGTTAACATTAATATGCTTTCCAGTCGGTCGTGACAGAATATATATATATGGGAAGTGATACATAAAATATCGTTGTTGTAAGTCACAGGAACATACATGTGAAAAGTGATATCGTGCTGTGGCCAGGCGTCCGCGTATGTGGTTTGTATATCAGTATTAGTTTTCCCTTTCGCTAATAATTGTTATTTTATGGGAACATATACTTAAATCTAAAAGATGTTTGAATAGTAAGAGAATATATGTGTAAGATTATAACATTTAAAGAGTTTTGATGTCAAGTACTGATTTTTGTATATCAAAGCGACTGTTTTAGGTCAAAATTTTGAAGTATATATTTCATCTGGAAAACACTCTAAAGTTTTGTTTATGAAATGTTATCAAACAGAATATCATAAATACATTGACAAAATTACACAATAGTACAGGTCTCCAGATTGTGCTATGCATGGACAAAGAACTTTTGCAACTATTGTAGATGAAAAATGACTATAAATTAAGCTTAATGCAACACTGAAATGCATCATCAACACAAGAAAATGAAGCATGTAAGAAAGACACACAAATGAATAGAACCATTTAATACAAATTTGGATAAGTTACTGTAGAGCGTATTTGTCTCCTCTTTCTAAGACTCACCAGTGTTGCAATGGGACTGTATGTTAACTCTAGGAGGCGACTGAGGAAAATCCAAAGTAATTCAAAGAAAAGTAAAAATCTATATAGCCTCACCATACAAACACACATGATTCATACCAGTAATGTAAAACCTACATGTCAATGGTGGAATGGATGATGATCACTTTATAGCTCTCCGTGTGTCCATTAGACCATAGTCATACCTGTCCACATACCGTTTTACAGGTGTGATGTATGGCCTGACCAGTCACAGGTTACCGTCCCACGTGCTATATTGACATCGCTTATTCATTAATGACCCACAAATAAATAAGATGGGAACACTTTCGTATATAATTAACATCAACAATTTAGTAGTACACGTAAAAGAAGAAAATGAAATCTTTTCTCATCCCTGACTTACATAAAATGATGTTTGATGTCATTGGAGAAATTTAATTGCATTCATATATATATGAATCAACATTTACGATCAATATCCCATTTACAATGGTTACAAAATGTTAGAACTTAAAATGCAACTTTACAGTGAAACGTTATTGGTTTCCTAGGTGCTGTTCACAGTTGCAAAGACTTCTAAGTATTATTATAAGTCATGTGACATGTCCTTTCGGACTAGCAATAAAGAAGTGTTACATTTATAAGTTAACCTGTTCAAGTATGTACATTTTCATACAAAAAATACTTTTAAGAATTTCAGAAAAAAAGTTGCAGAAGAAAACTATATATATGGTCTATTTTGTCAGTACCTGAACTACAGTGTAAATATATTTTTATATCTTGAAAGCTTAGCTCTACATGCCGTTGCTTTATATAAACTAGCACACCTTCTTGTTTTAAAAAAGTGGTGCTACATTTTGGGGAATGATGTTTAAGAGAAAATTTCGTGTAGGAATAAGATAACATGCCCCCTTAAGTTCATTTGTTCGATATTGAAACAGCTGATGTAGTGAAAACTAAACTCGGGCGAAAAAGCTAGGAAAACTAGATTAAATATTTTTATTTGTCCAAAGGGATCTAACTGAAGTCTTGAGAGTGTATCAATGATGTGCTAAATTCATTTCACTTCTTATCTAATCGCCCCTACCTATTATATGCAGGCCCGTATCCAATTTCCTGTGTTACAAACATCGAAATCAATATGGTATTATGAAATAGATTGTCAATAACTCCTTGTTGCGACAAAGTTCTCTTATTTCCAATATAACCTACAGATGAATGGGATGTCTGTGGATGTCATACAATAGAACTATTTACAAATGGTTATCTTGCCCTCGGTGTTGAGGATCCGCTAACGACCTATCACGACATTTGATGCAAACAATGCCTTTATGTCACCTGTTGTAAAAGAAATATACAAATTTATATTTAACAGTAAAAACAAAAGAAATAGATTTAAAAGAACCATCTTACTTACCTCCAGTGACCATTCTTGTGTTCTGTCCGCTCTCATTTTGACCACTGACAGCACATATGGATAAAACTGCAACCACGAAATGCAACGTCCAGAGTCCCATTGTGGAATCAAGAGATGCTCTCTATTTGAATTTTCCAATATCAAAAAGTGCGACCGACAACACTGAAGTCTTTACCAGAATGTTCAGTTAATATGTATATATTAGACTAGTTTCTCATTGCAGACATATCCTTGTCGCTGTCGATGATAAAGTGCCGCTTTGGTGTGTATTTCGAGACTTTTGTCCCATTTATATCAGCATTCACGTTTATTAATGAGGTCATATGTAAAAGCAGGATACATGACGGAGGAACAGCGTATGACTGTCCGCAAATCTTTCGCCCACTTCTATGATTGGCTGACAACGCCTCTATAATACTGTGTAGTTTCCAAACAGCTAAGCTTAACAATAGCAAACTGGCTACTGCTTACAATGTTCACCATCCGTCGACTTACTTGTAGTTCATGTCAATCATTTTCAAATCATATGCAACAAAATGTTTAACGTTTTAAGTCGTAAATTAATAATTCATTAAAACTGTATCATATTATTTCACCATATCACATTAGATTAACGCAGCAAAATTGTTCATTACAGAACCAACTAATGTGTTTAACTCGACTAAAAGCAACCAATACCAAAAGAAGTATTTTTTTTCCAATTCTCATTTCATGTTTTCAAATAACCAAACATTTTCACGTAATCATGTAAATGTTGTTAGTGATAACCGAAACGTTGGTATGATAATTATTAGACTAAACTGTTATAAAACCTAAATGAGCCAATTAGAATAAAGCTGACCATACTTTGTAAGACTCTGATAGTAGGGACGTCCTCTTTCCCGTAATCAACATTGTCATACTAGAACCGGTAAACTGGTGTGTATTGATTCGCCGACCTGTGCGTAAACAAAAATATATATAGATGACTCTAGCGATATCCTTTACAAACAATAATACAAAAAACTGTTTTGATATTTGTTTTTAAAGGTTTGATTTGTTTACCAATTTTGAAGGTTAAATACGCTGTTTAAAATAAATGTGAAGGTTACAATGTTTTTCGATATTTGTTTTATTAAACAATATTATTTGTTCAATATTAAAATTGTTTTGTATTGACATTTGTCAAAATGTTATTTCATTTATTCATTTGATGATAAGGGCAAGGAAAAGTACATTCTCATTCTGACATTGCGTTTCAAAAAGACAAACTAACCTGCCTACAAAACGAAGCGGAAATATATATATAAAGTAAACTGCTGTAATAAGTTGAAAGCAGTCGAGATTTTTTCTGTTATTGTTAGTTTCTGATATCAATCTTGCTATAATGATTATTTTAATGTGAAATATGTACATAAGAGATGCGCACTTGGCCATGCTACACATTCACAGATGATTGATTTAGTATGAAGATGTTTATTGACCATTGATTTTTAATATATGAACAATTCAAAGAATCGGATATACAAAACAACAATAAACCACCAATCTGAACGCAGACATAAATCTATGAATTCACATGTTAACTCATATTACACTGTCTACAAGCATTGAAATTTCGTTTAGTCTTAACCCAGTGATAAAACCTTAACATTTAGTGTTTGTTATTTCGTTCCTGAGTGTTGATGGTATTTTAGTATACTTTAGCGGTCAAAATTTGCGCTGTTGTTAAGTTTGCTCTTGTGTTGATATTGTTGGTGAATAATTATAACATACCATAAAATCTTGGAAATTTAGCAGTAGCTTTTATTCTATTTTAATGAGGAACTGTATGTGTTGAAGTGGAGAGTGGCTCAAAAGTCGTCCTTTTTTCAAGAGGTTTATATCTGTAGACGAGGCGAATTTTCGAAAATTTTAGAACCAGTTATAACTACATAAGTTATAACATGGGTTCTACATCAAACAATTAGAAAACGAGAAATAACTTTAAAAACGTTTTGAACTTTTCTACAAATATGACATGAATGCGTATCTTACTTGTGAGATCTGATCATTTTCGAACCTGTCTTACTTTCAAGATATTTTCCCTGGGGATACATATTGTTTATTTTGAGATTGGGTTATTTATTCAAACTTCTTGTCTTAGATTAGACATGTAACATAACTTTTGGTATGGAATTTGGTTAATTTGTTATCAAAGCATTAATCCAAGTAAAAAAAAAGAAAACACACCTAATTTTCTATTCTTTTTCATGAAGGTATGCAAAACGGTTTAACATGACGTATTTCGCTGAACAATTATTTGTTTATTCATATTTACCATTTTTGTCTTGAACTTAAAACCTTCTAAAAAATGTAATAGGACACGAATTTCACACTACACAAACTCTTGTTAAAGGCTTGATCAGGCTAGTGATTATTATCACGAATTTGGATTCATCAGGTTTTTCAAATTTAGAATTGGTTTTGCTTCAATAAAATTGAGGAAACATGCTTTATTTGAATAATCAAATGAAATCATTTTATTTTGATAAGATTAAACAAAAGTTTTATTCAAAATCTATTAAGACGAATTAAACTACATCTTATCGCTTATAGAATACAGAAAAAAAATATAATGACCGCAATGATATATACAAAATACGCAGAATTTTTTTTTTCAATCGTTGCTTTTTTCTTTGTTTTATTGGTTTATAATTCAATTTCCATTATCTTTTGTTTTTTTTTAACACTACATGAAGATGTCACGTGATATATTGGAATGTTTGTATATCAATGTGTATATTTGTGTGTGTTTAATCAAATACACCCCCAGCCTTTAATTTATCGTTTAGTGCCTCCTTTGAAATGTCATCATAAATCGCGCTTCTGTCAATGAAGCGGGTTAATTGACGCTAATAGCTCTAAAGAGGCGTAAGTCCGGGGTTATCTGGACGAAAATCTGGCACCTGGTTGTAGCTAGTAAAGGCCCCAAGATCGTTGGACAGGACATAGTCCAGTTCCGCTCATTGTCTGGTTTTTAAGGAGCATTAAAATAGCCATTGCTTTGGTAGAAAAAAGTCCGTGGAATTTTGGAGCCAATACTAGGTACGTCGTTTTTTTAGATCGATATTCAAATGAAATAAAACTTTATTTCGTTCGAAGTGGTCTTGTCTTTAGATCTATGGCGTTAAAAGTTGGCGTGACATCAATAAATCCACTACAAACTATTTTTACCCCCACCTTTAGTCTCCCCTACTACTCAACTACCCCCACCTCAGACTACTTCTACCCCCTAATCATCACATGGAAATTATCTGGAGATTGCATTCTGGCCCCAGCTGCTAAAAACTTGTTTCATGTTAACCCGTGAATAGCGAAAATATTAAAATATGAATTATACGAAATAGGGAAGATTGTGTCATCATTTCATGGTTGTAAATTGGTGGTTATTGGTGTAATTGATGTTTTTTCCGAAAGGTCTGGTATTTTTACAATATCAACTATTTTAATTTACAGTAAGCAGTTGCTAACTCTAACCAGGCTTTGAGCAACTGCGGCCTGGTCATTGATTGTAGAACGACCTGTTGCCAGGTTTGAGTGGCTGTTAATAGCATTTCTGATTTGATTTGATTTTATAGACGTTAGAGAGACAAGTCATATTTCAAAATGTAATTATTTTAAGAATTTTTTTTGCAAATCCTTTCTAATTTACATTTATCAATGTGTATTGAACAGAAAATGGCATACAAAAGGGTGAATTAGATTTGGCGATAATTTCAGGGAATTTGTTGTGATTCATTTGTGTTTAAAAGGCGGACATAAGTTTAAAACGTATGATTATAACATATGAAGATAGCATGAAATGAAATTGTAAACATATTTAATAGTGCTAATGATTTCAGATCTTTTAAGTCGTCTTTAACAGTACATCGTCTCGTTTTATGTCCTCTTCGTCGAGATTAACAATTACTTCAATTGCTAATTATTGCAGAGCAATGATTTACAATTTTAAAATGTTATGTAATAAAACAATATCTTATACATCCTGACCTTATGCTAAACGACAGAGGACCTAAGTGTTTCCGCATCGTATGATAAACTTGGCGCAACGCATCTTAACAAAGTAGAGGATTATACAAAAGAGTGAAAAACACCTTCCTATACAAATTTAGAGCTTTATACTGTACAGCCAAACAACTGATTTAACTGCAGCTCGTCATTGACGCTAAGGGCTTAAATTTTGAAGCTTAATGAGGGGACAAAGAAAATACAATATAGTTGAAAGAAAAAACTTAATCTAGAAAGGGAGGTATACTAACTCCATTGTTAAGTACGTTTTGAATTTTTATCTGATAGTTTTAGAAGATCGTCAAGTACAATTATCCGAATGATGTTAAATGTGACAGATAAAATTATATCACAATGTTTCTGATGTTTGTATGTAATATGTAATATAAGTAATATGTATAAGTAATTCGTTAAAATTTCATCATTAAAGCCTCTAAAACTAATTAGTGTCGTTTGACTTGCTTAAATCGTATTTAAATTTAATGTTTGTGTTGTCATCAAAAATGCTTCATGCGAATCTTTGTCACACCTAGGTCCGGGTCCTGTCCAGCCATTAAGCTCCCATCATACAACATACAAATAGGATATCATTATCACGTGAACATGACTCAGATGTGAAGCGCTTTATCAGGATAACGAAGCAAAAAAAATATTTAAGGTGAAAAAGTGTTGATTTTCATTTTGTTTACTATAAAATCATTCATTTTGGTGGGGTTTGTATTTTCGTTGATTTTGTGGTTATTCTTTATCCACGAATTTTTATATCCACGAAAAGATATACGTATTGAAATTGGTATTGAGTTTAGTACTAGTAGACTTCGTTACTAAGACCAATCAAATAAATCTATTAACAGCAAACTGCACATTTTTGAAAAATAACGATACTTGAGTCACGGAAATAAATTCTGTTATAGTTAATTGTTCAATCATACACTAACATACAAGTAATATTGTTGAAGTTTATCTCGCAATATTTCAGATTTCAGAGAAAAGGATATTCATAGATATCATATACTTCGTAGGATGGACTTTCGTGTAAAATTGAAGGTCTTAGCCTCAACAAAGAACTTC